CGGAACACAAAAAGATGAGAAAAAAGCATTTGAGTGGTACTTGAAATCAGCAGAGGGTGGAAATGCTAGAGGACAATCTAATCTTGGTTGGTATTATGAAAATGGAATCGGAACACAAAAAGCTGAGAAAAAAGCATTCGATTGATATTTTAAATCAGCAAATAACGGAAATGCTTTTGCACAGCATATGCTTGACTTGTTTTATAATAATAAAATCGGCGCACAAAAAGATAAGAAAAAACATTCTACTGATATTTGAAAATAGAGATGGAGTCTTTTTATGTCAAAATAATATTAACGCAAGTTATCAAAATGGAATTCGAGAAAAAATCGTACGAGTGGTAACTTGAGATCAACCGCCACGAAGATGCAGAATAACAACTTTATCTTTGTTTATTAACGAAATGAATCGAATGAGTGGCAAACCTTATACATGTACTGTATATTAGATTAGCGCTTGTTGTTCGTAATTTTTTGCTTACTAAATCAGAAAATTTATTGAAACTTAAATTCACGATTTGATTTTTTTTTATTATAAACCAACCCCGGTCCTCTCGGGAAGGACGCCTAGCGCGGGGAGAGGGAAGTTCCGGGAACCATTAGCAATTTTATTTATAAATAGCAATAATACTTTATTTTAAACAATCTGAATTTTCTTATATCTATCAAAAATCTAAGAACATTCAGTTAATTAAATTTTTCATTATTTAGCATTTTTATTTATATTTGTATCTTAATTTATACATAGGTTTATATTAATTTTATTTCTAAAACCATGTGTAATTTAATCTATCAAAAATGTATATTTTCAGGCAATTTTTTAGTCTTTAAGATTGAATTATAACTATATAAATAAAAGCTGTAATTATATTTGAGATTAGACTCCTATATCGATGCTGCTAATATAACATCTATTAGTAAAATTTTTATATCTCTAACAGCTTATGAAACTATCAAGAATACGATCGCGTTCTTAAACTTTGAGAAATCAGATCCAACTTCGGGTATATTCATGTACATATATTGAAGTGGCATTCCAAGAAAATTACAAATGAGACCTTACTGGACACAGAATATTATACGACATGAAGAATTAAAATGAAATTCTGAAAAATAATTCATTAACTTCTATATTAAAATGTTAGAGGTGTGTGTGCTATAAATACATGTACAGTACATGTATTTATTGATCACACGCACACCATACATGGACTACAATTAAAAATTCATGTATTACGTAACGTCTCTTATAGAATAATAGCGATAAAAGAATATCGGTATGAATGCAAGAGAAATCAAAATTTTCGGATTTATTTCATTATACAAGAACATAATCCTTAAAAGCAGAAGAAAAATAGATACTTTCATTACGCTTTTTTCGTGGAAAACACGGTGAATATGTAATCAGTAAAATCTTAAGGGTACGGTACATGCATGTTCAGTACCCACAAAAGTATCGCCGGTTCAAAATTATATAGTAAAACATATAAAAAATGGAAAATTTCAAGCTATATACATATTCGTGTTTTTTTATAGTACTTATTTCTAAATTTATATCATTTTAAAGCTCATGAATTATATTTTAGAAAAGCGATACAAGACTGATGGCAATTTAAAAGTGCAAAGAACCCCACATATAAAAAATTTAAATTTTCAAACTATACACATATTCATATTTCTTTTAGTAGTTATTTCTAACTTTTATACCATTTTAAAGTAAATTAATTGTAGTTTTCAAAAATGATTCCTAACTGTGAACGACTTAAGATGCAAGAATTGTTTTAATTATAAAAATCATGAAAAAATTTTATACAGTACATATTTCACTACAATTTCAAATCGGGCGATACATTTTGGGGATACTGTACATGTATCATATGTATAATATTAAATGCAGTAATGAACTTTAAGAACTTCTCGTTAATTATATCCATTGTGATACTTTTGAAGACACGGGAGGAAAGACTAAACACATAAACTCACTATATTTTTGGATTTCTTTGAACTTTTCGTTCTTCCCTAAATTAATACAGACTATTAACAAGAGTTTCATAAAAATTATTCAAAATGTATCAACTAGAAACATTTCAACGGATTCAGACGTCCACTCAATATTCAGAACAGTTTTCAACTTTCTATTTTGGTAAACTTCTCGCTTGTTATTTAGTTTTCCATATCTAGTAATTTGATGATTGATTGTTTTACCGTTAATGCAGAGTCAGGTCTACTAGAAATATTATAAGAAAAAGTACCTCCTCAACAACTTTTGCATATGAGAATTAACGCGAATAAATCGGATAAATTGAAGTAGATGAGCTTAATTTCAGTACTTGAGGCTGTGACTTGTTGAAATAAGGCAATAATTACATGTATATCAATATTTTGTTTGAGTCTATCCCTACGTCACATATAACACAGACATTGCACCATTAAAACAATTCGAAGAGAAAAAGATGGTAATTCTTTAATTGCTTTCTCTAATTTATTTTCGAATATACTCACCCGAATAAAGGTATTGATAACTAATACCGTGTTTCTAGAAATATATTATAATGTACCACGACAAGCTTGTTCGGTATGTTTTGAAGTCAATGAGTAAATTTAAAATTGAAATAGTTACTTTATAAATACACGCACGTATAGTTTTCCCTCTCGTATTTGGTATATTTTAGAGATTTGCACCTTATTAAATGGCTTCCAACTATGAGAACGGAGCAAACCGTACTTAAAATAGAAACTCGAGACTAAATGACTCAACTGCCAATAAAACAACAAAAGCAGTAGGAAATACCAACCAACAAAATCTTTAATAAAACGCCCCCACCTGGATTTGAACCAGGATCCTTTCGGTTAACAGCCGAACGCGCTAACCGATTGCGCCATGGAGGCCTTTCGCGTACATTAGGTTTTAAAATCATATTAATCCTTAAGTTAATATATGCAAATAAACAATCGAGTATCGTTATGTTCGATCTTTAAAAAAAGGTAACATAAACGAGTAGCATAATATCAAAAGTTTCATGATTAAAAAAATTTAATAAATTATCTATGCTATTAAACAAACAGACAACTATTCAACTCTATCTAATTCACTCAAGCAACCAATTCCTCAACTTTTCAATCTGTGCAACAACCGTAGCACGACTAGTCCCGCCTAAACTCGACCGATTCTCAATACTCTTTTCGAAATCCCACACGGCAGACACATCTTCCTCGAATGCGACGTGAAGTTGTTTGAAGTCTGATAACGAGAGGTTGCTCATTGTGGTGTTTCGTTCTTCGGCTATGCGGACTGCAGCACCAGCGATATGATGGGTTTCACGGAATGGAACCTGCATTTTTGTTCGAAATTTGAGTGAGAATTTAAAGTCCATCATACACGTATTTTAAAATCGCAATCATGTATAACATAACTTCTTACCCCTTTTCGAACAAGATATTCTGCTAAATCGGTAGCCAACATATCAATACTTAGATTTTGCTGCATTTTCTCCGGATGAATCTTTCAAATATAAAATCATTAGTCGACGATATCTAGGGCAATTTCAATAACAAAAAATAATACCTTTAGAGTCGAAATAACGCCCGCAGTGATTTGTAATGATCCTGCTAGAGTTTCGACAGCATCAAACAATGGTTCTTTATCCTCTTGAAGATCTTTGTTGTATGTACTTGGAAGACCTTTGTATGTCATTAAAAACCCGGATAACTAATGTATAAGCAGTATTTATTAATGAAAAAATCGGAATTTACAATTTCTTATGCATCAAAAAAAAACTATATACCTGTCCAAATACGCGTCCAGATTTTCCGCGTAAAAGTTCACAACTATCCGGATTTTTCTTTTGTGGCATTAAACTACTTCCAGTACTATAATAAAAATTCAAAGTTTAAATTTCGGTTGATCATAAAAAACACATAAAAAAAACACCGACCTATAAGCGTCCGCAAGAGTAACAAATCCAAATTCTCCCGAACTATAAATAATCAAATCTTCCGATAGCCGACTAATATGCACCATTGTGACCGACGCCCAGAACAATACTTCGGCAACAAAATCACGATCACTGACGCCGTAAAGACTATTCTGAATTACGCCGTTGAATCCCAGCTCTTGAGCGACAAATTCACGATCGATGTTGAATGGATTTCCAGCTAATGCACCACTTCCCAATGGAAGAACATTCAATCGATCGATTATTTGCGAGAGACGAAGTGCGTCTGCTTGTAAACTCCACGCATAACTTAGAAGCCAATGACTCCAGCGAATTGGTTGTGCTCTCTACATTATATAAGAATGATTTAAATTTGATTTTATAATACATAAAAGATATGAATATAAAAATTACTTGTAAATGTGTATATCCAGGCATCAAGACATCAACTTCTTTCTCTGCTCGTTCAACAAAAGCACCGATCAACTGCTTCAAATGACCCAACAATTTTCTCGTCTCATCTCTAGTCCAAATCCGCAAATCCGTAGCAACTTGATCATTTCGACTTCGTCCGGTGTGTAATTTACCAGCCACACTACCGACGTATTCACCTAATCGTCGTTCATTAGCCGTGTGAATATCTTCGTCGGCCGGTTTAATCTCAAATGTATTATTGCGCCATTCGTCTAATACTTTTTCTAGTCCGGTAACTAACGTCGTGCTTTCTTGTTCGGTGATGATTCCACGTTTTGCTAGTGCTTTTGCGTATGCTTGTGATCCACGAATATCTGCTTCGTACATGCGTTTGTCAAAGTGAATTGAAGCGTTGAATGCGTCCATTAATGGATCGACGGCGCCTGTGAATCGACCTCCCCATAATTTTGCGCTGGTCATTTTTTCAGTTGTTGATGTTAAATCTTTTTTCGGTGATTTGAATTTTTGGCGATGATTAAAGTGAATCTTGTTATTTATATTATCAAATCAATATCAGATTTTTATCAAAAGATGATGTTTTTGAGATGAAAGATGAACTTCTTAAGATGGATAATATCGATATTATCTACGCACGCATTGGTGATCGTGTGTAGCAAACCGGATCTTTTTTATGTAGTTAAGCCTACATGTACAGTACATACATGTTACATGTACTGTACATGTATTAATTTTGTGTGAATAGTCAGCTGATACAGCTGATAGCTAATTCTATTTGACGCAGTACATATATACAAGCCATGGCGTTAGCAATAAGTCTAGAATATATCAATATCATTTCATATTCACTAACGACAAATCAAAAAGTTTATTTTTATTCACTGATGACAATCATCAACTATTCTCCTCTCTGTCTTCCAAGTCTAAACTCTTGTAATATATATAATAATTACGTACTTAGACATTTGCCTGAATATGCATTAAATGAAGATTCTTCTTTATACCTTATATCACATCTTGATATTTTTGTCCATATAATCTTTTTTAAAAGGAAAGAACAAATTATTTATTTTCTGAAATATTGTTGTTTATACATTTGAGCATTTAAAATTAATTGAAATGAAATGTATAAGAAAAAGTAATTTTTGTTGCGATGCGCTAGTCAAAAACATTAAATGCGAAAATGAGGATATTAAAAATCTATTCACATCATCACAATCGTAAAAATTTGTATTCTTTATCAATAATATTTCGTGTGAAGATTTATTTGATGTTACATTTTTTGAAGACTCAGTCGACCCTATATAAGGACACGCTATATAAGAACAATTATGTGTGAACCAACTTATTATAAAGCATATTGAAATTTCTCTTTATATAAGCATAATTATAGATTTTATAAGAACATGGTTTTTGAAGGTCCCGAGTAGGTTCTTACATACAAGCATAACTGTATTAAATTTTAATATCAACCAAAGAAAAAACAGAATTTGTTTGGCTGCATTTTTAATCAATTATTTTTAATAATTTATCTTTAACCACTATCAACTGGACTACAGTGGATTTAATAATTTCATAAGACTAATATGGTTCGGTCCTGTGACGTCTGGTTGCTGAACATGATAACTGCTTTTAACATTGCAAGTTTCAAAATATTAGATTAATATTGACGCATTCTCGATCTTTTTAAGATTTCAAGTGGGCTAAATATAATGATGTTTGATAACCGTTCATATATACTTTAGACAGAAATTCAATAAATAGAAATGATGATAATAGTGAGTTTAGTAATATAGAAACTACTAATAAAAATCAGTGATTATAGATGAATAATTGTTATGACGAAGTTAAAGTTATTATAATAAAACTTCATGCATTAATATATTTATAATAGTACACTCTATTTTGGATATATTTAACAAAAACTCATAGTATCTATCGGTATAATAAACCATTTTGGGAGGAGAGGTAGAGGTATTTTGACGGACATTATATCTTTGATATCTAATGATTGTAGACGAATCAAATTATAGTATTTTATATCACTAGGCAAGAGATATCATACTTCGTCAAAATACATAATATTCCCCCATGATCACGAAATTATGGACTGTGCTACAATTGCGCCATTTAATAATCATTGATTGATTTCACATGGAATTAAGCCTCCCTATTTATTCTTGATGAAAGGTCAGGAAAAATTCACAATGCTTATAAAGAGAATATTTTATTTTTATTGTGAAAGTTAAAAATTATTTATTTATTGTGAAATTATGTAAGTTTCTCAGCAGTTAATCTGATTTGAATAGGAATTCAACATTATTTAATGATAAATTTGCGTTATAATTTGATATCATAAATAGAAATTTGTCATATCAAGATCAATCATATTTAGTTTTATTTGAAAATTAATAGAATAAAAACAAATATATTTAATTTTAAGATTAGTTATACTAAAAAATCCAATTCTATTTTGAGTGATTTTAGTTTTAAATTAATTTCAAAGATTATTTTCAAAATTTTCTAAGTAAAAAGCTTGTAAAATTTGAAATAATTATTTTTTAATCACACTTTGAAATCAATATCTCCATTCTTTTTTTCTAATTCATTATTTTCATAATTATTTTTTATCAAAAATCAATAAAAAAATTTTTTTTTAAATTATATATTTAATTTATAGATAACTTTATTTTTTCATAATAATTAAAAAAACAAAAAGAATTATTATATAATATATAATTAAATCTAATATTAGAAACTCCAAGAATCAACTCACAAATCTATTCAGCCTGTCTCTCTTTGAAATCCAATAGATTGTAATGGTAATTTAATTATTAACTCATGTAAATGATAACCAAATAAAAAAATTTTGAAAAATTTTAATTTTTAATAAAAATAGATCAAATATAAATTTATAATATTTAATATATAAATTTGTATGTCAAATCTGACTGTTTAAATATATAGCACAAATATATAGAATATAATTCAATTAAAATTTGTTACGGTAACAACCAAAAGTAATAACTCAGGGGCTAAATTTACTAATAAAACATAGTGAAAATTGAAATTTTCTCTTTATATAAAAATTTATAATTTTAATAAGAAATAATTTTTATTTTTATATTAAA